AAACTTTTTTCATTAAAGATATGGTGAATTCACTTGACATTTTCTTTAAATTTTTGATAACGTATTTTGTGTCGCAAAGGCTGTTGATTTGTTACAAGCGTTTAAACGCCACATCACGATGCGCTCAGATAAATCTGACTTGCAAATCGTTCATCAAGATAAGAGTTTATCTGGCTTTTATTGCTCGGTTCCGAGTTTGAGAGCGTGTCCGTGCACTGAATATAAAATTAAATGCTTTACAAATTATTTTGATGTCTCTGGCAAGGAAGCATTTAAAGTTCTTAATGAAATTCAGGCAGCGCCGGCGATGTGGGTACGTCGGAGTGGCGTGATAGTCGTCCTCTCCATTCGATCAAGGCTTATGGCCGCCATGCTCATCCTTGCTTGTTGTCAAATAATGCCGAGGTACGCATCTACAGCTTTTGATTCAGATAAGACTACATGAATTAGGAAATGTATACTACTCTTCTTAGAAAGCGTAGGGACTTCTTAGCATATATACGTGTTTAATATTATGGAAACTGAATGGACGCCCCACTAAACTGTGGAATAATTATTACAAATTCGAAATTTATACACCTTCATAATTATCATGACACGACGAAGCCTTCACAGCAAAAATCGATGGGGAAGATATGCTGATGTTCATCACAGGCATCCGCGCTCAACGTGAATGTAAATCCGCTCCCACAATCTTGTAAAAATTCAAGTGTTTGTTTTTGTGGCCTTAGTTGCTACCGCTTCAGATCGAGCTATCTCGCGCCGAATGTCCCGAAATTTTAAGTGATACAAGTTGTGTCATGACAAGCTGTGGTCTTCTCGTTAAATAAAACAATTTCTCTGACATGTCGATTGTTTTATTTCATTCAGATACGTGTGGTCTAGTATGGAGCAGTTGACGGTGTTGATTACCTAGCTGGCCTGCGTGCGCTCGACGTATATATTAATATATATTGAGCCTACGCCGAATGACACGCGGCAGGCAGATGTTAGTTCTACTGCAATGACGCCGAAATTACGCATGTTTGCGTCCAGCGATGTGCACCATGTTTGTGAAGCACTTGATGGAAGTTATGAAAATTATTTTTGGCAATTTCGACTGTTTTTGCTGTGGCACTGTTATCTCTAATTAAGACTGGATCCGTGAGTGATGAAAAGATAACATTTAAAATTATTGATATGTGTATTTGTTCTTAATTTGTTCACGTATTATTTGTTGAAAAGCAAGCAATTTCTTGAATTATATTCCGCATTTGAATTTTGCGAAAGATAATTTGGCGTCATTTCTTATCCATATAACCAATAACGAAGCAACCATTAAGTAATCGCGTCTTTGAACTAAATTGTACGAGTTTTGGGGCTCCAGCACAGCTATAAAAATCGACTCTGGATCAAATAAAAATCAACTTGTGCTCTATGTGTAGAGTTGACAGTCACGCTCTCTACTGGACGTGTGATTTATTACCCCCAATTGTGGTGCCGAACGCAAATGATATACCTACCGCCGCTGTCGCTCTCACGCGGCGTGAGCCAAGTTCTTATTTCTTGCGTCCCGTTGAATTATGCCAGTTTGTTGATTGCCGAGGGTCGGATTGCCATCGTAGACCCGTCTTCTATTATCAATTTGGTTCTTACTGCCTCTGCAGTTAACGGCGCCACTCGGACCAGTAAGAACATTGTATTACTTTCATTCATTTGGTTAGGGTCTATGTTTTAACTGACATTGTGCTGCCTTGACTAACATCCAACTCTGGTCTCCCATCTAAATAGCTTCCTATATACAGCAGCATGTTTAAAAAATTCAAAAACAAATTCATTTTACTCGGTTGTCGGTTTTAAACTCCTGATAATTATTTATTTTTCTTCTATTTATTTTCTTCTGGGAAAGATGTTAAGTCATCTTAGTTACAATAAGAAATCCATGTGAGAAATTTCAACTTATTCTGGATTAAAATGAGCTGAAATAATTAAAGTCAATCTAGAAATTATTAGTTATTATGAGCCATATCATACCTGTGGTATGATATGATATGCGCACTCTTGTTGCGCACATATCCTGCTAATGATAATCATCATTATTATATAATTATTAACTATAGATTACAATCTATATCATATACCATAAGTAAAAATATACTTGTAAGATTTAATACTGTACGTAACTGTAAAATCCCAAGAGGTGACTCGATCAGTGATGAGTAATGGGTCTAGAAACCCGGCTGATCGATTTCCTACGAGCTGCGCAGAAGTATTGTCTATGTAACCTATTGCCTATCTACCATCATGTTTTCTCTAGGATTTCGCTATGACGTCATATCACATTTCGATTTATACTGTAAAACTTTCTGACATTTCTTAATCGCATCTGTAACACTGACAGCTCACCTCCAGAATGGCCAATGTAAGCCCTGATTGCGAGCGCCGTATAAAAAGAAAAGAAAGAGCTTCTGTATTGTTGTTATAACGTTGGCGCGCCCAGAGATCTGCTATACCAACGCTGTAAACTAAACCGTCTCGACAGCACGGACTTCTTCTGAAAACTTCTTGACGTCTCTTGTTCCGGCTGTATAGGCTTGACAGAAGCCAGACAACGCATGCAATGAACTCCCTCGACTTAGTAGACTTTTACTACACGTGACATCCGACATTTGAAGATAACTTCCAGACGTTGGACTAAATAACGTGACCGCCTACATAACTTTTAGCAGCTGTAATAAAATTCTTATAATATAAGAATCCAATTGCTAAACACATGATAGAATCGAAGGCTCCTTTAATGGATATAACACTCCACACTTGGACCTCTGATGTAGAATGGTATTGTGACGACACCAATGAGACAACCACGCATGAGTTTACATAACGGATGCACTTCAGACGCTGCTGCCTCAACGGGCGCTTAACTCCAGTCCTAATGCTGGGGGGAAGCTGCACCCCCCATCGCACGGTGCCTTCATCCCTGGCCTCACCTCTGCTGGGCACGGTCCCTCACAGGACCTATTCATCACCAATGATTGCGTCCGCATCACCACACTCAACACCAGGGACTCCACTGATATGTCATCATCCGCTACACCCTCCATCACCCTTGGTGAGGTGCGGCTCCATGCCTGGAGATGGGGGCGGTGCAAACGAAGATGCTGACAGTTTACCTCCCTTGAGGTCCCCAAAACACGGGACATCGCGAGACACGGACTCTTATGAAGCGCGCGGCATGTCTCGCTCTGTCTCCGACTCGACACTACGACAAGCCGCGTCTCGAGCCTCGCTCCACCTACCTCTACCTGTCACTTCTCTCATGCTTTTTAAGGTAGCTTTTTCATTATGAGCTGTAAATTTTTCTCCTGCCCGCAGGGGTATTTCTTTTCTATACCGCTACATGACAGTCAGAAATTTATTAATTACATTGGCAATTGTTTAATTCAACATAGCTTGCAAGTAGACTACTTGAATAAAGCTTTCTTAGATTTTGAATCTTGACTTTTGTGCATTTTAACGAAATTTATAGCATTCTGACCTAGATCGTTATGTTATGGGTAGTCTACTCCCCTGCACAGTTCTGCAATAAATGTTAGGTTTCCATCTTCGTTGATGATTGTAACTTTAAAGCAAAACATTAATAATAAGATTTGCATTTCTTACACTAGAATTCTTTCTGCTAGACGTGATTTACTGACGGTCCTGAAACAACAAACATATTACGTTTCAATTTTATTATATTATTGAGTACTTGCACCTACTGACTAAACAGAGCTCTTCGGTGTCCTGCATATTTGATGATGAACTTCTGACAGTTATATATAGGAATGTAAAATGTAAGCCAAGCGGAATGTGTGTGCGGTGTAAATTGAATATATGTTGAATTATTTCTTGAATGTTTCATATGAAATCAAAGTGTATCAACCTCGTTCATAAAAGAGTTTTCTATAAGGCCTCAAATCTGTCAATTTCGAACTTGATTTGCATTTATCGTGTTGAAATTGAATTTCGAAGTTACGCTTTGTTAGAAAATCAGTTACAAGAGACTCGTGCTGCCTTTGTTTGTCATCTCATTGCATCGCCTTCTCAGTCGTTGTCTTGAGGATTCTGATATAATTTCGCTCGGAAACGCGACTTCTCATTGTATAATTCAATTGATCATTCAGAATGTCTGCCTTCTGTCCTCACATTGAAAATCATTTCAATATGAATTGCGAGCCGAACAAAACTTTCATATATACATCTATTTTGAAAAGGCGTTAATTATTAATAATATTAATGTGATCGTCAGCACGATATAGTTCATGACCCTTAATTGTGCAGTTGAACGCGCTTATACATCTATTTAGAAAAGGCGTTAATAATTAATTAATAATATTAATGTGATCGTCAGCACGATATATTTAACTTATATCTCATGACCCTTGTGCAGTTGAACGCGCTTGCCCTTTTGTTATGTAGCTCTAGCAACCGCAGGAACGAGCGATCAGATGACGTACCATTTGGTCGTGAAGACTAAAGAGTCGAGTCCTGCTAATGATTGGCACTAGGAAACTGCTAACTTATATGATTCATTATTGTCATACAATCAAGATGTTTACCATTCTTCTTTTAAGAAGTAGAAATTTCGTATATGTTCTATGTCTTTTCATGGGAAATTGAGATGAGGCGTTGCTCTAATATTTTGCCGGCATTGTTGAACCTTTTGAACTATGGAAAGTGGAACGACGTGTCGATATCATTCTTATGAGATGCTTTACGTATAACAACGCTGTCTATGATCAAGAAATAACGTTGAGTTATTATTGTGTGGTTGCAGAAGGTGGAACGCCGTGTCGATATCATTCTTATGAGATGCTTTACGTAACAACGCTGTCTATGATCAAGAAATAACGTTGAGTTATTATTGTTTGATTGCAGAAGGTGGAACGACGTGTCGATATCATTATAAAGAAATGCTTTACGTACCAACGCTGTCTATGATCAAGAAATAACGTTGAGTTATTATTGTTGCGTTGCAGAAGGAGCTGAGCTTGGTGAGACGCACAACTCGTGCAGGCACCGGCCAGAGGAAAAGCTTCATCGCCACAACATCGCCTACACTGCCACGATGTCACTCGCCTCTCACCCAGAGTGAGTGATGGACTCGTTTAAACTTGTGGGAATTTTCACTTTGCACTTTTATTCAATCCCTATAATTAGTGTTGTTACTACTAATCAAAAAATTGCTGAAGGTAATATACATATAAAACCTTGAGTTAGCTTATCCATATATCTTTAAAAATGTGTCTACTTAATTGTGTCATCAAGTTGGTCTACTTATTATCTTAGAATGAATTTGTCTGCAGAGTGTCTGCAATGACTTCACTATTAATGTATAATGACAGCTCCCGAGGAACATTGTTCATAGCTTTTCGTTCTCTGCCTATGGTTGGTTCCAAATTGCCGAAAGTTTCGACGTGTTGTTACTTGAATAATTTCGTAATTCACATTTGAATTTTTAAATGAGCTCTTTAATGCTTAAATTCTGCTTTTTCATTTTGCTTTATTTGGGTACTTTAATGTTTGAAATCATGCGATGTTGTAATTACGATAAATGAAATATTGTTCATAGCGTCACTTCCCCTTCGAAATGCTTTCCCAATGAAAATTTACAGACGCGTCAGCTTCTGATTTGGATTACCAGAAGCTGGGGCGACTCTAAATTTTGTTAGGGTTCTTTCTCAGAATATCGCTCACTATTATTATACGTAAACTGGAGAATAAAATCTTGGTGCATGTTCATGCAGCACTTACAAGTGCCCTATACCCCTGTACAAATCTTGATACATGAACCACTTACAAGTGTGCCCTGTACCCTCCTACGCATAGGTCCGATGGAGTCACCCCGCAACCAGTCACCCATGCAGCACTTCCCGTTTGCGCCGCTCAAGAGGGCGGATGGCAGACGCTGGTCGGTCGCCTCGCTGCCTTCATCGGGCTACGGCACCACCCCGGGCTCATCCAATGTCTCGGTCAGTCCACTACATTCTGTCTGCGTTGTCATTTATTAATTGTCTTGGCTTTGCGCGGTCATGAATCTGTGTAATTTTTTTTATTCATTTCTTTCTTTCTGCGATCTATTTTTTATTCATATTGCAAAACTTGTATACGTATCTAAAAGTCTTTGAACTCGATCTTTTCTTTTGCAACGTTGGTTTACAATTTTAATGCATTCGCCAGTAAATAATTGTCCAAATCTTAGTTAATTAATGCATGTTTGTTATTATTCGAAACAAAATGGTACAAATTGACTTGCGCTTCGATTCACTAGAAATGCGAATAATAATTCAGTTCATACAAGCATCTAACGAAAAGGAATGGTTCGATTTCAATACCGCCGTGTTTAATGTCTAAGCAAATCTCTGTTAACCCTCACACTCCGCTCCACTTATCCACCCTTTATTAATCTGAAGAAAATAGCGACCATGTTTAATGCTCCGTTATGATTCATCTGAACTTCAAATAATATGATCGTTATGTTAAAAATAATCGGCGTCAGTTGACTTTCATGGCTACGCAAACTTTGATGTTAGTACTTCAGTAAGGCTTACGGCCTCAAGCGTATTGATTTAATTCGAATTCTTTTGCTTCTCAAGATAACTGCGTTGCGATGCTTCTAGTTGAAGGTATCACTTGAGAAAAACATAGGTTCATTTGTGGAAGTAACGGGCATAATTAATCTCCTTGTGATATGCTTGTGTTGTAATCATCTGTCAAAACGCAATATTTGTCATAACTTAAAAGATAGAGCCATGCCTGCTACGAACGGAGCTGAAACAATTTGAAAATTCTAAAGACTAATGTTGTGTGAGTGGTTCGATCACCAGCTATGACCCATGGCACATTTCTTCGTTCGTTCAAGCGGATCTCGAAACTTTTTATTTGATATCTAGCCTATTGCGTGCGTTGCAAACTGGCCGTTGCAAGGAAAAACTGCGTTTTTTCTTTGAGGGAAACTCTTGAATTTTGCAGGCAACTTTTATCGATTTTCTCTATATTTGTTAGAATCAAATTCTTCCTGACCTCTCCTTATTGGTGTGCCAAGTGATCATTCAAACAATAAATTTTGTTCCATTAAACGACCGCTACGTTTTGTGGCAGGTTTATTGTCATATAAAAATGTGATGCACGTCGTGTTTATCTGCAATATTTAGTGGAAGCTTAATGTCTTTGGGAGGCCTTCTAACGTCTATCTAAGGACTCAATTATTGCTGCCTTAACATATAAGCCACCTGATATCGTACTGCTCGATTCAGGTCTGAGCTTAGATCTTAGTAATACGTATACATCGCCGCGAGCCAGAAAATAAAACTTTTCAGACTTGGGGGTTTTCCTACTCTACTAGGATAATTTTAGAGTTTTTTTCTCTAAGTCCACACGTGAGAATAGATAATTTTTCTCCCATACGAGTATACGATCTCTAGCAGCCCAAATCTAGGGCGTTTCTCCATAAGTTCGGCTTTGATTACTTCAAATTCAATCGAAGTGACCGTTGATGATTTATAAGTAAACGTCCCCCGGTGACCAGAGCCTATACTTTCAAAAAAAGTTTAAGAGATCGTAAGTTCATCAGCCAATCATTGACGGCCTCTCAAGCTAAGTTCACCAATCATAGACAAGAAAATAGAGCGTAAGTACTTACGTTCAATTAGCGAGTTTTGAAAGTATGGCCCCAGCACAACACACGACACTCGCTGCAGTACGCGCGCCTGAGCATGAGGTTATTTGATGTCATCACTCACACGTTTTATCGACCTTGATATTTGAATGTCGGCCTCTTGAGTACTTCGCCGCTGCCGATGCACTGTATGCTGTATTTATTTTAACCTTTCAATTTCAAAGTCACCATTCAGTTATTAACTTTTTTTTTCTTATGAAAGTTTGTAATGACCGCCAATGCCAAAAATGTTCTATTAAGATTGGAAATATTTTGTATGGGATTTTTGACCTTGATGGCAATTCTATGAGTGAATAATACAGGTCAAAATGTTTCCCGAGTAAGTAGTGGTACTATCGACTCGTAAAACTGTTGAATGCGCTCATAAAATTAGGATCTCTTCTTACATTCTATTTCTCTTTATAAATAAATTTTTCAGGCGAAGAATTAAGAATTATGTTTCTTTCAATCCCAGTTAAAGTATTATAACAGAAAGGAACATTTCCCTGGTCCAGCTTAAGTGATGTTATTTTTACTCGTAATGTAACCTAATCGATTAATGTTATTAGATGTATTTATACGTATGCATAATTCATCACGAAATTTTGTATATGAGAAAAGACTTGGTTAATAGAGGACTTTAGAATGGTCAGTGCTCGGTCGGTGACAATGATACGTGCTTTTCATTATGCTTATTTCAAGCTCCTATATTCATATTTTACGAGTCTTGTGCTATTTCAATCTTTTAAGTTATTTAAATATCTCCTTAATATTTTGACAAACACAACTCGCATGTTGAAGAGAGGATCAATTGTGGGCTCCAAAATCATGGTCATCCCCGAACATGCCGAATTGTAGCATAACTTCCTCATTTTTTAGTGTCAACTTTGTAGCTATTATGACTAGTTATTAGTACTCTTGGCTTGTCGCTGCGAGGCCATGCAGTTACTGGGCTGTCTGTTCACAGACTTTCACTGTGCGCGGCGCGAGCGGTTGACCTCGCTATTGCTCACAACTTAGCTAGCAGAGACTACTGCTCTTTACGTTACTGCTATCTTCATTTCTGCTACTGCACCAGTCACTGATAATGTAGATAAGCGTGCTGTTATTTCTATACTACAGTAGTAATACTTTGCTCTAGGAATACTTCGCTTTGCGCTACAACATAATGCATCGATCTCAACTACTCCTGCACTATGCGCTACTATTACAGCTTCAAGATCTGCTGTTACGTTACTACTCTTCACTTCTCCATTTTCTGTATAATTTACTATCTCGCTTTTATTGACACCATCTGTGCACAGAACATATAGCTTAATTGTTCCTCGCAACACAGTCATATACAATACACTAGTGGTTGTGCTGCAGCTTCCGCAGTTTTTTACCTCGCTTTCTGTCAAGCTGAGCCATCATATTTCCTATTGACCCCGCTGCCGCAGAAATCATTTTCCTTGCTCTAAATTTACTGTACTTTCTCTTCTTTGAATCCAGCAAAACAGAATCATTTGTCAATACCAAATCCCAACTGTACCACCTTCCAAATTATCTCGCAGAATATTACAGGATTAATTGCATCCATGTTTCAAAAGACTTATTCAGGTAAATAAAGAAATACAATAACATAATTTCTTTATGCTATTATCTTTCTCAATTAATAATTTCTTTTTTACAATAGTAAAAGATAAATAAAGAAATGCAATAGCATAATTTTCCTTTTATGGTGTTTGCAGTCGCAATGCTCGAGTCAGGAGCGCCTGCACCAAGTGGGCATCACGTCTTCTGCATGTGTGCCCGTGACATCAGTGAGCCTGAGCTGCAGTGCTGGTGGTGGCGCGAGTGGTCTAGCCACAGCCACTGGGAGCATATCCACCTCTGGTGTTGAGGAAATACGGCACTTGCACACTCCACAACACCCTCGCCATCATCACCATCATCAGACTCACCACCAACGCCACTTTTCATCAGGCGAAAGCAACCCGTCCATAGAGGACGATGCTGGGCGGAGATCACCGATGATGCGGCCCCGGTCGCGCTCCCTCAGGTACTTAATTGTCGAGCGTTGACTCACCTGCCTAACCTTTTGTACCTTGCATTTCATAGCACATTTTCTCTACAGATCCGTTTTACTGCCTAACCTTTTGTACCTTGCATTTCATAGCACATTTTCTCTACAGATCCGTTTTACTGCCTAACCTTTTGTACCTTGCATTTCATAGCGCATTTTCTCTACAGATCCTTTTTACATATTTTAGGTTTAGTATAAAATTACCACTTTTATTAGCAGGCTTAGAAATATTTTTATATTAAATTAACTTCACTTTCTGTCTTTCACACATTCATTTCATAGATTTTTATTAATTTTTTGCGTGTTTCGGAGTTCATTTGGTTTTTCAGATCTTTCGATTATTACCATCATAATAAATCTAGTCATAGAATGAATCGGTTTATTTATAATCCTGGTTGATCGGTTATGTTCATTTGTGTTATTCTTGTCGAGTGATGTATTTACTCTTCTCTAAACGTATTTCGAACTTCAACCTACAATTTTTCACAATGGCAAAAATTTTTGGCGCGAATAGACTGCATGGTTCAATTTAATTTCAATGACCAAACTCCTCTCGTTGCATCCCTAACAAAATTTAGAGTCGCCCCAGCTTCTGGTACTCCAAATCAGAAGCTGCCGCGTCTGTAAATTTTCACTGTAATAAAATTTAGAGTCGCCCCAGCTTCTGGTACTCCAAATCAGAAGCTGCCGCGTCTGTAAAATTTCACTGGGATGATGCTAGGGACACACTCAACAAAATGAATAAAGCCATCTTCATCCCTGCATTGTTCGGCCTTGTGATCGAATAGGTTCTTTCGTAGCCAGTGATAAAACAGTTTCTTTAGTGACTTTATTACAACTAAAATCATAAATAAGCACTGAATCCGTATGGCACTATAACTAAACCTTCCAGGACAAACACAGGACCGAGACTTCTTGGAAAACGGAACTGAGACTGAGACTCCTGAAACGAACAATTGAACAAAATAAATATCTAACAAAAAACCGGCCTAAACAGACAAAACATACTAATAATATTGAAGAATAACTATTGAACGCTTCATTAATATTTACACAAATATACAATATACAAAAGAAACCACAGCTAATTCAAGATCTACTTAACAGTCACTTTATTCACCTATCACAGAACATACCTTACGCATCCACGGCATTCACTATACTAACCCTGCTTACAAACTTCAGTCGAGGTCACGTCAAACTTACTCTAACAGAGAAATGAAAAAAACGTATAATCAGCTCAGTCCCTAACAATGACGCTCTTGAACACCTTTTTCGCACCTTCCTAAGTCATGCTAGGGTTGCGAACTGAAAAGTCTTGCTGCAATTATTCTCTAATGCGATCAAAATAGGTCGCCATATGTCAATTCCCTTATGATTTGTGCAATGTGCATGATCACGTTTCTCAATATGTTTTGTCATGCAATACTAATTGACCCCGACGTTCAAGCTCCGTTCAACTTGACATTGAACGTTTTCACATTCTTCCCTCTGATATGTCTTTAATGGATGGAGTATTCTACTTTCGGTGTTTCTCTTATTAATACTGACAAATTCATTACTTATTTATCGCTTTTTCCCATGTGTGTTATCAAATTGTCCCCCAATTCTGCCTACCTGCTGTTTCAAAAAAGAATCTTCCTGCTTTCAATTAGAAGAATGTTTCTGCCAACATCCTGTCTAGAGATTTTCTACTTGTGTGTGGCTCCAGGAAGTTTCATAAAAATGTTCTTACACTCGTAAAACATCCTACACTTTTGAACTCTTCTGACGGCACTCACCATGAATGGTATCCTTCGAAGTGAACGCTTTCATCCTTATTGCTGATTCTTGTATTCACGAATATACTCCCACGAGCTTTTATGTTCTTCTACTTCGATAACTTCGATATACTGCACTGGAATAGTTGCTAAAATGTACTTTTACATCGAGCGTTTCATCATTTTATCTCTGTTTTGTCGGACGACATGAGAGATGATAACTTGAGTTGGCCTAACCCAGCAATAATTTTGTGGTCCTAAATTTGACCTGGACAATCATAAGTTGTTCGGGTGTCACAGTTATTTGCTTTCTACCGTCCAGTGGAGGTCTGGGGGTAGATATTAAGATCTGGGTATTCAGAATGGCTGTTTTATGGATGTCGTAAGGGCTCTACACTCGCTCTCTGAAATTATTATTATGGTTGTACTCTCTCTTTTACTGACTTTTCTGCCCCTGCTGGCGCTCTAGTCTGGCGTGGCTGTGCATCGCTACACTAGAGTAAGCCTTCAAAAACTTCGACACCCTAGCACCTGTCCTTGACCCTATAAACTACTTCATTTATCCTAAACCTCTTCCAGCGGCTCATTTGTGTATTGGATGTGCTTCCAAGAAAAATTTCCCTGTAAATGAAGTGTAGAATTGTACTCGTAATGTTAGCAAAGCTGTCATGCAGGGTGTCCCCTCTGCTTTTAATCATGAATCAATTTCTGTTGAGCCAGCAAGCAATTAAATGTAAAAAAAACTGTACAAAAATAACAACTATAACTCTTTATTGACGAAGTTAAAGTTAATTGAAATAAATAGAATTACTGGTTTGCTTTTCGCGTAACGAGTTTTCTGTTTCGGTTTTGGGATGAATGATTTTCTTTTTGCTGATAAAAATTTTTTTAAGTCCCTTTCTTTGCTTAATTTTTTAATAAAGGTTCCATCATCCATGGCCATCTTTCCACTGTTTGCGTTTCTTTACGCGTGAAGAGACATCATTTTGACAGAGATATTTTTTAACATCTCAAATAATGTAAGCTTGTCGACTAGGCCACTTGCTCTAATCGCTTCCTTAATCGCGGCTCGAGTAATTAATGTTATCATTTGTACAAGGGTGACGATTTCCCTGAGGAAACGTATCATAATAGTTCAATATAAATTACATCACTTAATTATTCCTCAATTTCCGAAATAGATCATTTTTAAGCATCTGATTCTGATGTTCATGATCTATGCGGAAAGTGCTCCAGAGTATTGTTTGTCCCCAGGCTATACCTACGCTTAATTTCAACGATCATTCTGGATAGGGGAATAAGTATAGCAATTAGAATTGTCCTCAATTAGAATAAATTGAGAAATTAAGAATTCGTTATATTCCTGATCGCGATATCTTACTTCTAGGGAAGTTCAAATCAAAGGCCTTGAAGTCCTTATCCCTAACAAAATTAAGAGTCGCCCCAGCTTCTGTTAATCCAAATCAGAAGCTGAATTTAGAGTCGCCCCAGCTTCTGGTAATCCAAATCAGAAGCTGCCGCGACTGTAAATTTTCACTGTGTAGCTACATGTACGCGCGCTCTTACTGCGTGAGGCAGCCTCTTATGGATTAAATATACTAACTTCCTATGCACTTATAATTCGTCATTGATTTAACGAGACAATATTAACGCAATGAAAATTGTGTGCATCAAATCACTACATTTTGAGTATTCAACATATTTTCTCATATGATGCTCGTGAAATTCCTCTGTGAAGCTTGCAAACAGCATTATATATGAAGATTGCAAACAGCGTTATCTATAACGATTGCAAACAGCATTATATATAAATGACACGACAAGCAGTTCATTCGTTGGATTTATTTTTTGTCGTTCGCTTCTTTTTCGTATGCATTAATAATAATAATAAAAATAATGTTTAACATTATTATTTTCATTATAACATTGATTAATAATGTTTCCTATATTGGCTCAAGCTTACATAAATTCTTCTTAATAACTGAACATATAAAATTTATTGAATATTTTCTTATGTGAACTTTAGTCTGTATAGATCACGTCGAAACTGAGGAAGTTTACAGGGTTAAGGACATTGTAATGGTCTCTTGTAGGGATTTTATGTTCACAAGTCCGGTTTAAAGACGGTATACATATTCTCTATTTCACTTTCTCTTACTTTCGTTCATTTTCAACACCAAATCTCCTGATCAGCAATGTCATGCTACCCTTACTTTGCCCTGTTGCATAATTCCTTGCATTTCCATGCGTTGCTGTGCATTACTTACGTTTATTGTTTCAGTATTGGCAATTGTTTTTAGCATAGACATTTCTTATTATTTATTCGCCACGCTATTTATTTGTATCATTGTTGACACGGTTTACTGCATTACATTTATACAGTTCTAGATAGCAGTTCGAATATGTATTGTGGTATTGTTTAAAATGTATTGTAGAATTTCTGTGCGTCTGGCTTTACAGTCGTGTGAGTAAAACCTTCAGTAGTGCGCCTCATTGATTTTATCGGCTGACGATCCGGGGATGGATGACTGGCATATAGCATTTTGTTGTCATCTTCTTGCCGTCGATTTTGTCCTATTTGTTTTGAAGATTTAATTGTTTTTTTTTTCGAGAAGATATTGTGTTAGTTATTCCTGATGATAATAGTGACAGTAGCATATCGCATGCGCCTATTATTTAGTTTTCGTGCTAGCTGAGCTCTAGGGCCATTCATTCTATTATTGTAACCGACGGACCAAACTGCGCTAGTTATTTCGGTGAGAGCTTTCACAACACGCCAATCTTACCAACAGCATTGCAGCTTCTGAAAAAATCGTTATTCTGCGAATTTTCGCAATTCATGTCCATGTTTGTATTGTATTTAACTCTTTTATTTGTTTCTTAGAGTCCCACTTCTGTTCGGTGTTGTTAATAGTTCATACAGTGTGGCATTAGATGTAGTTACATCGTCCGCATCTCTCCATCGGTCAGCAAAGCAGCGTCTTTATTTTATCATTAGTTAGTACAGTAATACGAGGCCGATGGGCTGAGCGCTGCTGCTGTTGCCTAGCTGAATGGAATGTTTCTGGTTGTCAACTCTGATATACTTCACTAAGAGAAGCTAAAAAAACGCGCGTCCTAATGTGATGCTAATAACTTTGCTGGTCCAATTTGGTAGAAACTGTCATGCCTCGTTTCTGATCTGTGACAAGTTTGGCGCGAATTTTTAGTGCAATGAGTGCAATAGTCGTGTTATTTTGAGAAATTCATTAACGTTATAAGAATAGAAGTGCAATGAAAGCATGTTTTGCAATGTATCTTTTTAGTATATGTACTTTCGTTAGCTTATGTTAACCTACTTGAACTCAATAAAGTTTTCGACTATTTTGGGTTGGGATTCAAATTTGTTTCCATGCTTCTGTGTATTCAATTGTGTTATTGCATTTATTATTCAACCGTATTTTTCTCGTCTGTGTCTTGCAGCAGCCCCATACGATCGCCTGTGGTAGACAACGAGATCATCTTGATGAACACGCTTTATAAAGAACGATTTCCCAAGGTATGTAATACTTTGTTCAACTCGGTTCTTGTTTCTGGTGCATTGTTCACAATTATTCAAAACACCTATTCATTTTTCTTAGTCACATATCTTGCGATGTTTCTTGACACGTATTGCGTTACCAATTACGAAACAAAAACACTTGATCGATAACAAAGAAAGCAGAAAACTTGCCGCGGTAAAGACTGCGTTTTTGGTGCATTGTTCACAATTATTCAAAACACATATTAAATTTTCCTATTCGCGTTTATTGCGATGTTTCTTGCCACGTATTTCGTTACCAATTACGAAACAAAAACACTCGATCGAGAAGAAACAAAGCAGAAAACTTGCCGCGGTAAAGACTGTTTCTGTGCATTGTTCACAATTATTCAAAACATCTATTCATTTTTCCTAGTCGCGTTTCTTGTGGTGTTTCTTGCCACGTATTGCGTTGCCAATTACGAAACATAAACACTAGATCGATAATAAAGAAAGCAGAAAAGTTGGCCGCTGTAAAGACTGCGTTTGGTTGCAGGCGACACAGCAGATGGAGGAGAGGCTGGACAAGTTCATCCAGAGCCACGCGTCTCTGGACCTTGACGCCCAGGATGAAACTCTCCCCCCAGACGGAGTTGCCATAGCAAGATTTGTTCACAACCAGGTGCCTTGTGTATTATCTTTTATGTTATTACTTAATGTACTGAACATAGCGTTTGTTATTTCAAAGTATGCATCGCTCAAATAAGTAATAATGGTTTCGTATTAGGGATGTGGAAAGTATGTTTCAAAATTGAATTTTTTTTAAGTTGCTGCGATTTTTAATGAGCTTCATTTTCATCTACGTTTCTGCTTTCATAATCGGTTAATCATGATGATATCTGGGAATGCGATTATACACTTGAAATTTGATCAATTTTCATTTGGTGATGTCCGAATAGAATCTTGAATCTGTAGAATATTTGGTCTTCTTGTCTGGGTATATCCATAATATTTACACGGTTTTAGTCAAATTTTTTAATCAGTTTTCTATTATTTTTCCGATGATTCACATTTGTGAAAAATTCTTAACTATCATTATGCGCGCTGTAGCCTGGTGTGAATATTGCCCGTTTGTCTATGAGCAACGCTGACCATGTGTTGCCACACTGCCCAGGTGACACAGATGGCACGCGACTGCCTGCAGTTTAATCAGTTTTCTATTACTTTTCCGGTGATTCACATTTGTATGTGAATAGTTATCATGCTCGCGGTTCCAATGATTCACATTTGTAAGTGAGTTCTTGACTATTATGCTCGATATTCCCTGGTATGAATATTGCACGCCTGTCTATGATCAACGCTGACCATGTGTTGTTGCACTGCCCAGGTGACACAGATGGCGCGGGACTGTCTGCAGAAGAGTCAGGAGAAGCTAATAACGAGTCGCTACTTCTACGAACTCTCGGAAAACTTGGAGAAACTTCTCTCCGAGGTGCCGTAATGTCTAGCGTGGTCTTGTTCATAGAAATGGCTTCTTTTATGAGATTTATTTCGTTTTGCTTTCAGATTTTGTTCATTTGTTCACATTTTAAATGATGTAGTATCAAAATTACTCACTGATAATGTAATTTTAACATAACTGTCAGATTCTGAATTATTGATAAAACCTATACGAATTCCAATTGAAAAGCATTTTAAAGAGTGGAAAATACCTACTTCAATAGCCATGTACATAACTGCCAGATGCAGAATTATTGATAAAACCTAAACGAATTCCAATTATAAACACTTTAAAGAGCAGAAATTTGGCACTTCAATAGCCATGTACACAACTGTCAGATTCAGAATTATTGATAAAACCTAAATGAATTCCAATTGGAGAACATTCTGAAAAGTGGAAAATACGCAATTCAAAAACCATGTTCTGGCCGCAGACGCGAGACAAGTCAGCGGAGGCGGCTGTGCACCTAACGTCGCTCATCAAGAAGCTGCTGCTGATCGTCGCTCGGCCTGCACGTCTGCTGGAGTGCCTGGAGTTTGACCCCGAGGAGTTCTACCATCTCCTGGAGCAGGCCGAGGGACAGGCGCGCTGCACACAGGGCATCACCACCGACATCCCTCAGTACATCATCACCAAGCTGGGGCTCAATAGGGATCCTCTCATAGGTCCGTCCTGCGTCTTGGCTGCCCAAGATCGTGTTTATTTTAGCGCTAGGTTCGGTCCAGCCGAAGTTTACATTGTCTATATTTTATAGTTAAGCATGGGCATTAGCAGTAAGGACTACTTTTTAGATTTTTTATTTGCTGAAATAGAAACGGAAAAGAAGAAATTGGTTGCAAAAATCGTGAAGTCGTAAGTCGTTAAATCGTAACATCTGGTCGTAAAATCAAATTTTTTTGTTGTCCCTCCTAACCCCCAAGCTTTTAGCCACCACTGAGACCCTGTTTCAGCTTGTAATTGTTTGCATGAATCGCGTTCAGTAGTTCCTCTATCATACAGAACTGAGCAACGAGCTGGCGGGCGGGGAGGAGTGTGAGGACAAGGCGTGTTACACACCAGGCACTCCTACAGGAGATAAGACAAGCCCCGAGAAAAGTGGCGCGGGTAGCGGGGTGTTCACTAGCACCCCTACACATGGGGGAGGTACTCGCAACGCTGCTGCCTCACAGCGACCTACTGCCTTCATAAACCCCAAGGATGAAGACTTCGAGTGGATTAAGTTGATATCAAACGGCGCGTATGGGGCCGTTCATCTTGTGCGTAGTCGTGAAACAAAGGAACGATACGCAATGAAGAAGATCGCCAAGCAGAACTTATTACTCAGGAATCAGGTTAGATAGTCAATATTTATCCGATATTGATTAGAAATAACTTACCAGCAAAATTTATATTGGGCCAATTTGTCGATTTAAACTTCGCAAACATCAAATTATGGTGACAAATGTTGTGGTCTTGTTATTTCATCAGCCGTCGTCTCCGTAGTTTTTACTAATGTGTGTCATTTCACATTTCACATTTGAATAATTTCTTAGGAAAATTTGGCATATAGTATCGCCAAATAATGAAATACACGCGTTCCGTCTCGCTCAACTAAAGCTTTGCATCACACGCCACAATATACATAAAGACCGCCACTTATATCAAATTTATATACCTTATGATATCATTCTCTCAGATTCACCGCAATTCTAGCATGGTTAATTCGTTTATTTTCATTGATTCCATCATAGATTCAACATTAACAGTATAAAATATATCTGGGCTTGTGACGCGCAGGTGGAGCAAGTGTTCAACGAGCGCGACATCATTCATTCGTTTATTTTCGTTGATTCCATCATAGATTCAACATTAACAGTATAAAATATATGCGCAGGTGGAGCAAGTGTTCAACGAGCCCGCGTCATTAATTCGTTTATTTTCGATGATTCCATCATAGATTCAACATTAACAGTATAAACTATATCTGCTCTTGTGACGCGCAGGTGGAACAAGTGTTCAACGAGCGCGACATCATGAGCTTCACGGACAACCCGTTCGTGGTGTCTATGATTTGCAGCTTCGAGACTAAACGGCACTTGTGTCTCGTTATGGAGTACGTGGAGGGTGGAGACTGTGCCTCGCTCCTTAAGTCCATAGGGCCGCTCTCCCTCGACATCTCGCGCTTCTACTTCGCCGAGACCGTCCTTGCTGTTGAGTATTTACACAGGTGTGTGGCTCGTAATATTTTATTGATATTCTTTTCACAGAATGTATGATTTTTCTAGTTTTTAGCGCATTTTCTCATTTATTGAAAAAAGGCGCTATTGTGCTCGTCATGTCCGTCCGTCTGTCCGTCCGTGACCACGTTTTCGTCGACGAGGAAATGCGCTCTCTGTCACTCACTGCAGTGAGTACCGAGTTATATTTTTCTAACCATTTATTGACCTGACAGAAAACGACGGGAATTATTTAATTTAATTTTTGTTCTAGATAGTGAGCTTTTAGGCTTCATAATGTGTTAGTCTATGAGCCTTTGAACGACAAATTGATCTTTCTATAATGTAGTCATAAAAATACTGTCCTCTTTGATCTCCTTACTGACCAGCTATACTTTTTAGAATCATCTCGTGTGAAAATTTAGGCACCATCACTCATCGAATTATTCTTTAATTGCCCCTTCAATTTTTTGTTTTTCACAGTTATGGAATTGTTCACCGGGATCTCAAACCGGACAACTTGCTGATCACAGCGCTAGGCCACATCAAACTCACTGACTTCGGCCTCAGCAAGATGGGGCTCATGTCCCTTGCCACGAATCTCTACGAGAATTACTTGGAGATGGAGACCAAGCAGTTCTCAGACAAACAGGTCTTCGGCACTCCTGAGTACATCGCCCCGGAAGTCATTCTTAGGTCCGTATTTTCTCGAATCATTTTTTCTACTAACAAAGTCTGGTTGAATTGTTATGCGGCTACATTGCGTGTTAGAAATTTTTCTATAACTATTATTATGGAATAATTTGAAATGCTTAGGAAGAATTTAAGTATATATTATTAAAGTTTCGGAATAATTCATAAATGCTCAGGGAGATAAATTTATTTTCTGTATTCGTTGATGCACGAATTACGTGACCATCGTAAGAAGACATTCAGCAATAGCTCTTATGAAGCGCTGAAGGCGTATCAAGATGGCCTCAAAATATGATAGTAATTTTGTTTTTCAGACAAGGCTATGGCAAGCCTGTGGATTGGTGGGCTATGGGCGTTATTCTGTATGAATTCCTGGTTGGCTGCGTTCCATTTTTCGGGGAAACTCCTGAAGAACTCTTCGCTCACACTGTTAATGGTGAGTCATCTCAGCTCTGCTAATGGACTATTCCTTTTAATTACTTATTGTGAGTGGTAGACTAATTCTATTTTCAGGAAGAATAAAAATACTGTGAAGTATGGAGATTGATGATGAAAAGAAATTCATTAAATCTTACCGCCAATTATTCTGGTAGAATTTTTTGCTTCACATGTATTTAGTTCAATAGAGTGGCCGTGTTAAATGCATTCAATGTAAATTTCTTTTATTTATTTCCTTTCTGTCGCCCAAATATTTCAATCGAGTGAAAAATTCGTTCTATTCTCATTGTTAGATGACATTGAGTGGCCGCTTCTTTTATTTCTTTTCTCTTTGTCGCCTAAATATTTCAATCGAATTAAAAATTTCGTTATATTCTCATTTGTTAGATGACATTGAGTGGCCGCTTCTTTTATTTATTTCCTCTGTGTCGCTCAAATATTTCAATCGAGTAAAAGTTTCGTTGTTTTCTTATTTGTTAGATGACATCGAGTGGCCTCTTCTTTTATTTCTTTTTTCTGTGTCGCCCAAATATTTCAATCGAGTTAAAAGTTTCGTTGTACTCTCATTTGTTAGATGACATCGAGCGGCCTCTTCTTTTATTTCTTTTTTCTGTGTCGCCCAAATATTTCAATCGAGTTAAAAGTTTCGTTGTATTCTCATTTGTTAGATGACATCGAGTGGCCGGAAGAGAGTGACTGGCCCGTGGACGACACAGCAAAGGACCTGATCACGGCGCTACTCACGCACAACCCCCTGGACAGACTGGGCACCGTAGGAGGCGCCGCTGAAATAAAAGAACATCCTTTCTTCCAGCCCATCGACTGGAACCAAATCCTCAGACAGAAGGCCGAGTTTGTGCCGCATCTCATGGATGATGATGATACCAGCTACTTCGATCGTGAGTGCTTATAGGACGGTTCCTGAACTTAGACCTGGATACCTATATTCCTATTAGGCCGGGATACCGATATTCCTATTAGGCCTAGATACCGATATTCCTATTGGGCCTGGATACCTATATTCCTATCAGGTCTAGATACCTATATTCTTTTTAGGTCTAGATACCTATATTCCTATTACGCCTAGATACCTATATTCCTATTAGGTCTAGCTACCTATATTCCTTTTAGGCCTAGATACCTATATTCCTATTACGCCTAGATACCTATATTCCTATTGGGCCTAGATACCGATATTCCTATTTTGATTGATGACATGAAATTTGGGACCGAATTTGTGCTCGTAATGAATAACTAAAATACCAGCAAATGCAGTGTTAAGGTTAACCAGAATGTATTCGTTCTATTTCTTAACGGAGAAACTGAAATAATGAATTTGAGTTTGAAAAATAAATTCTAACAATGTAAACCTAAGCTTATGACATTATTTTGTTTCTACTGTCAGTATTCTGACGTTAAATACCCGTTAATAATTACTTGATTGCCTGTGCAGCTCGCTTGGACCGCTACAACCACGAGGTGGACGAAGACAGCGAGGAAGGCCTGGACTTTGAGAGCCTCAACTCCTCCGGACAATTTTCGTTCGCTGCTTTTTCGTCGGCCTCTCCTCGTTACTCCCGCGGCAGCAGCTTTAACAACGCCGCCGTTAGTGCAGGTGGTGGCGTATTCCAGCCCATTCCGCTTCACCGGCGCAGTTTTGGTGGACAAACATTGGCAGAAATGGAAGCTGGTGATCGGGAAAAGACGCTCAAGTGTGGCCTCAACATAAGTAATCGCTCTAACATGTCCCGGGAAGACTCCGGCCATAGCGATCAGAGTGAAAGCTCGCGGTCAACGCTAGATTCATCGACGAATACGCCTGATAAGGAAAAGCCACATTCGGCTCCTAATTTAGCTAAACTCGCTGACCTGAGGCGGCCTGATTTAGATGATCAAAAGGCTGATTCAGGATCTGATGGCTTGAGGTCTTCAGAGGAAAAAGAAATCGTGGCTTTGACTTCAAGAAATCGGTCGCCAGCAAGCAGCGGGTGTCTTGATGGTCCGGAATCTGGGTGTCGGCGGAAGGAGAGGGTGGAGCATGGATCTTTTGATACAGAAAAGAAGAGAGCGCGGAAAACCCCAATCGTTCCTCCCAAAAATACACCTGAAAGCCCTGCGAGATTTGGAATCTCTAATGATCATCGTTCTATGCCATCACTTTGTGACCTGTAAGAGACTTGTTAAATGTTTGGCCCTTCATGTTATGACTTTAGATTGTGTTCACTGTTGTTTAAAGGCATCGAAATTCTCATTGTAATTAATATTTCTTGTCATTGTTGTTCGTCAAGTTTATTATTTAGTTTACCTTGTGCTTTTATTATTTCTATTTAGTTATTTTTTTACTTGCATTGAAATACAAACCCGCAAGTTTATTATATTGTGCTTTTATTATTTCTATTTAATTTTTTAAATACAAATCCTCAACTTTATTAATTTATGCCTTTATTATTTTTTTTTTCGTTTTTTAATACAAATCCTAAAGTTTATTATCTTGTGCTCTTATTATTTCTATTTAATTTTTTAAATACAAATCCTCAAGTTTATTATTTTATGCTCTTATTATTTCTATTTAGTTTATTTTTTTCAGCGCAAATGCTGGAGTTTATTGTTATTGCAGTGACGTAAGCAGCGGAAGCACGAGCCTCGTCTCCAAGGACTACTCCTCCGTGCCGTCCCTGCCTGCGCTGCCGCGAGCTCTACGACCCGCCGCTGCTTCCAACATCGGTACGTCATCGTGGTGACAATATCTGCGTGTTTCATAGTAGATATTAGGGGCCATACTTTCAAAACTCGCTAAGTGAACGTAAGTACCTACGCTCTATTTTCTTGTCTATGATTGGTGGATTTTGCTTGAAAGCCCGTCAATGATTGGCTGATGAACTTACGATCTCTTAACTTTTTTTTGAAAGTATAGGCCCAGGTCTGTTATTACACTTTTCATGATATTTACCTGATGTGAACTGCTCTTTATTCTTTTTATGTGAAAAATCTACAGCTCAATTTTATTCTTACATTTTTTTCGTTTGCCTTACCGTCTCTGGAGATGAATCCCAGCCAATACTAAAATACTTTTTAGGAAGGTTTCAGCACGTTTTATGCTACTTGCGCATTATTTCCATCACCAGAGGATTAATATAATGTTGATTGTAATACTGAAGGATATTAAATATGCTATTTGCATTTGCGCAGGTGCGACGAACACGCCCGAGTCGTCGCAGACGGAGAGCGAGGACGTGTCGCCGCTGGTGCAGCGCCGGCGCAAGGCACATGCCGGCCACCAGACACGTGACGGCGGCGCTGCGCCGGCGCTGCTGCTGCCGCGCTTCTCGGTGTCTGGGGAGGACCACTGGGACTCCTGGACGCCTGTAGCGCCCACTACGAGCGCCAAGTGAGTCTTGGGCTTTGGGGGCTTTGGGCAAGTGAGTCTTGGGCTTTGATATCCTCAAAGAAATATTCTTTGAGGATATCAAAGGAAAGTGCGTCAAGGCAGGATGGAACTAAGTAAAGTTCATGTGGCTAATAGTTAACAATTTTAAAGATTGCATTACTTTGAGGGAGGGACTCGCGGATATCATAATAAAGTGCGTCAGGGCAGGGCTGAACTAAGTAAAGCTAATGTAACTAATAGTTCACAATTTTAAAGATTGCATAACAACAAGAATTACAATTCTCTTGTTTAATTTTTTGTTCATTGTAAACTTTGACTTGAATATTCAGGACGATTTTAAAATGAACATGTAGAGTGTTGAGTTCTCATGTGAAGTATAATCAATGTTTTGTTATTGATGGTAAATACAAGTATAATCAATGCTGTGTTATTAATGATAAATACAAGTATAATCAATGCTGTGTTATTGATGGTAAATACAAGTATAATCAATGCTGTGTTATCAATGCTACTACAGCGGCGACAGCAGCACGGGCACACAAAGCAGCGGCGGCAGCACCTGCAGCATCACCGCTGCTGGGCGCGAGTTGTCACCAGTTGCTGAACGCATCCCGCGCTCTCATCCCTCTCAACAAACTGATAATGTTTTCACCAGCAAGACGTTGTCATCTTTTGCCAAGGTCCCTACAGCTTTAGCAAAGTCTATGAGCACGCCTGCTGTGGTGCCTCCGTGTTCTCCTAGCTTTTCTTCTAAAACTTTCGCTGAAAGAAAATCAAGCATTGTTAAGACACAGCCAAGTCCCCCCAAGGGCATCAACTCAGCGCCAAGTCTCAGTCTCCTGGCCAACTCCAGCAAGCGTCTCGTGTGTCCCAGAGTGAGCGTCCCTGCGGTGCCGTCCCCGACCTCCACGAGACCGCGCACGCGCACTGTCATCAAAAGCTCTTCGGCTTCTGGACTTGCGCTCATCATACCACCTAGTGAGACTTCCGTCTTCATGAAATGCTACCACACTCTTTGAATATAATTACTATTGAGACCTCATTCTCATTTTATTTATTTGTTTCTAGTTTATGTCAATATTTTTATGGTTGGCGTGGAAATTCGATATTCGTTATTCTGAACCTCCTATATGATAGCGGTAGAAATAATAATTCATTCATTAATATCCTGCCTACTTGCCCAGTAGCACCAAGCTCGTGGTGTTCTCCAGAAGACCTGGGCGGGCTGCCCTTGCATCACTATCATCCCCACTATCAGCTACTGAACCACCCCAATGCCATCCAATCCCCTGGGGGCTCGAGCACGGCCTCCTCCCGTGACGCCTCCCCTTCACGGGAGATCTCCCCGCTCGTCAACTCCCTGAAGCCTCCCATCATCCTGCGCCGCGGACCTCAAGGCTTCGGCTTCACCGTGCAAGCCATCAAAGTCTACATCGGCGAGACCGACTTCTACACCGTCCACCATCTTGTCAAGGTACATCTTAACTAACACGAACTTATTTCATCGTGTAGATTACAGCATATAGATGCCTCAATCTCATCCTTCTAAGCTTGTATCAATCACATCAACAGTCTTTTCTATCCATACAATAACGGCATAATTATAATTATCGCCTAAAGCCTACCTCGTATTCCTATTCCTATTAAGTGTACAAACTACATTGCCTTTATTTGCTGATCGTAATCGTACAAATCACGGTAATGGTGGCAATTCTATTAATTCTATTCAAGGCTAATTATTCAATTCTATTCAAGGACAATTAATGGTGGCAATTCTAATCCTTGATCTTAAGTGCGGCTCGAAAAAGGCAAATTCTTCCGCAGCAGCAACGTTCCGAGGCGATGCAAATGACTGTCAGTTCGACTGCAGTACGTCGGTCCATTGTCTTTATTTCAACGTAGATATATCATCTTTACAATTTCTACGGCACTACAGTTGATGACTTTGATCTAAACAAAAGTTTATCTTACCAGGACGTTGATCAGAAGAGCCCTGCGTTCGAGGCCGGACTGCGACCGAACGACCTGATCACGCACATCAACGGGGAGGCGATCCACGGTTACTTCCACACACGCGTCCTGCAGCTGCTGCTGCAGTGCAAGGAACACGTGTCGTTGAGGGCCACGCCGCTCTCACAGACCTCCATCAAGTCTGGTTAGTGGGTCTTCACTTCAGACCTCTCATGCAATACTATTAGTTCTATCGTAGCCAGCCTTTCACAGACTTCCATCAAGTCTGGTTAGTGGGTCTTCACTTCACACCTCTCATGCAATACTAATAGTTCTATCGCAGCCAGCGCTCTCACAGACTTCCATCAAGTCTGGTTAGTGGGTCTTCACTTCAGACCTCTCATGCAATACTATTAGTTCGATCGCAACCAATGCCATTACAGACCTCCATCAAGTCTGGTTAGTGGGTCTCTACTTCAGACCTCTCATGCAATACTATTAGTTCTATCGTAGCCAGCGCTCTCACAGACCTCCATCAAGTCTGGTTAGTGGGTCTCTACTTCACACCTCTTATGCGATACTATTAGTTCTATCGTAGCTATTGCTATTACAGTGAAAAATCATGCAAATTTACTCTGTCTTCCTGAATCAATTTGTCACCGTGCAGCTTGATAGTTCATTTTTGAAAATCCATTTGATTACTTTCTTAGAATCTTAAAGATATATATTTAATATATGAATTTTAAAAATATTGTTTATTGTCTTAATTATTATTTATTTTCTTATTTGACTTGTTATGATCTATATTCTGATTGACACACTTACACGCATGGCAGGGGAGAAGCGCAACCCTCAAGCGGCCAAGTTGTTCAAGCGGCACTCGAAGCAGCGGCGCCCCAAGAAGGAGGCGAGCGACAAGCGCCGTAAGCCCTCCTCCCTCATCAGGAAGATCTCCAGCAAACGCGCCTCTGCTGTCGACCTCAATGCTGTAAGTTACTATGGCAGTGTTTTATTAATGATAAATACAGGATAACTCATTGATGTTCACATTAACGCGACACGACCCACTTGAAACTTTAAGTTGCTCCTCTTCTTTGTAATGACGCTGTGGTTATCAACGCTGTAAGTTAGTATGTTAGTGTATTATTAATGGTAAATACAAAATAACTCTTTGATGTTCACATTAGCGCGACACGACTCACTTGAAACTTTAAGTTGCTCCTGTTCTTTGTGTTGACTCTGTGGTTATCGACAGTAATATTTACAGCCGAAATTGTTAACAAGAGAATGCGGTGTTTCCTCCGAAGAGTGTTTAGTCCTTATAGTTCACGGCTCAGTAGGATTTGAATCCATGGTATTTCCAACCTGCCGTTATTCTTACGGAAACGTTCATGTGTTTCTAAGAAATTAGATGAAAATTCAGGTTTTAATACTTACTTGACTTAGCGATGGAGTTATTGTTGTTATTTGCTAATTTGCCCTGCTGCTACATCACAGTTATTCAAAGTCATTCAATGATTCGATATGCAATAAATTAGAACTGGGAGTTGTTGTTTGCTGCCAACCAAGTGTTTCAATTAAACTGAGGATGATTGCTCCTGCACGATAAGTTGCACTCTCTCTTGGATAATTAACTGCATGTACTCATCTCAGTTCATATTGCATCACTTCAGGGGTTAGATTCATTTTTTCTTCACCTCCGACTCGCTTTTTAGGACCATTTCGATGCGTCAATATTACCTAATAATCCATTTTGGCTCATTTCTCGGCAAGATGTATAAATTTTATTATAGAATATAGAGGAATAATCTGGTTTCTAACTTTGTTGGTTTTCTAATAATTGTTGGTTTCTAACTTGTGTTTTCATTTTTCACGCGTTCTTCATCGTTGAGTATATAATCTATAAACCATTTGATCCCTATCATATGGTTTATATATCGTCTAGCATTTCTCACTAGCACAAAGTTGAATTTATCTCAAATTTGAAATTTCATTCACTTGATGTCGAAATCAGCTAACCGTCTACCGCCTGACATGAGTAACCAGAGCTATATTGTCACAAGCCTACTTCCCAAAAAGGATACGTTGCTAGTGAACGCAAAATGACTTGCACTGATGGTTGCCGCCACGTACGACAACTTTAAAATGTTCTACGTTGCGTACAAACGTTCTCAATTTGCTACACTCAATAGTTTACGTATAATATGCCGCCACGTACGGCAACTTTAAAATGTTCTCTGTTGCGTACAAACGTTCTCAATTTGCTACACTCAATAGTTTATGTATAATTTAAGTTAAAAGTTCTGTTCCCGGCGAGTGACATACGGCGGTAGAGGGTTAACCCGATCATCTTATTAATTGTTCACTACTGGTTTTCCTGCAGCTGTGGATGGCTTTCTCTGTTGTTCAATTCCTTCGCACATCTATCCTTCAATATCGCCACAAACCTTGGACACCTTGCGTTCATGTCTCAAGACTTGAAAAACTTATAACAAATTTTCAATATCGTTAATGAAGAAAATTAACACACTTTATTGCAAAGAAATAGGTTCATATGAAAGTTATTAGTTTTCATTCATTAAATTAAAAATATTTTTAACATTTTGTGGCCACTGTAACACTCGCAGAAATCGTCTGCCCATCACTGCGTGTTTTAATTCCGAAACTCAGTTCAGCAAATCTCTCATTGTCAGCTTGGTTTGGAATAATTTGAAATCATATCATATTGTGGAAGAACCCATACAATGTTCCACATCGTATATTAACAATGTTATAATTTTATCGAGTTGCTTATCAAGTACCCCAGTTAACATTCATTCATGTGCACGATTTGTAACAGTTAATCAAACTGATATTTATATATAACTCGTACATCTTTCTCAGCCTCATTCATAACTTTTAACCTCGTTCGTAATTCTATTCAAACCTAATTTTAATTATTTCCTTAAAGCCCTTAACATTAAGAAAATGCCCTTAATGAACTTGAGTGCTCCGTTTTGTAGGATGTGTTTACTAATCATGATTTTCTTTTTGTGTTTTTTTTTCAATAACTCACTCCAAAAAAACTTACAAATTGTACAAAAAAATATTCCTTCTTTTCCTTTGCCTGTAATTTTTTTTTTAATAGTTTGCTTGGAACTCTATGACGTTTCTACAGAATTTCAGTTCATCTCAGTAACTAAAAAGAATTTCAGCTCATCTCACTAACTTTAATCATTCTCAGACCCAAAAGCACCTCTCAATATTTTTGATTAATTTTTTAACTTACTTCTCGGACCCAAAAGCACCTCTCAGTCTCTATACTTATGATTAATTTTTTAACTTACTTACTATCACTTTTATTTATCTCATTTTTGTTTCCTACGTTTCCACATGTCCATGTGAGCCCGATGAATTTCTCACAAGGTTTTTCGTTATTCTTCACCCTTACAGTCCAGCGGACCTCACTCGGCTCCAGTTAGAGCTGCTGATTTTGTCCCGCACTTTGCACAGTCTTTGGTATGCCTTAGCTCATTATTGTGCTCATTCTATGTTTGACTTACATCCTCATTTTTATTTATAATATCGGCTTCTATTAATCAATGAGGCTGTCATATCACTAACCAAGCTTTTTGGTTCTGCTCAACACTACAAACGCTTGATGTCGGCCGCTGCTGCCCGTCACTCAGAGTAATCATTGAGTCGTTTGGTCTAATGCGTGTTGACATTCACCTGTGATCGTATCTTCTCATGAGCTTCAACTACATTCATCATCATACATTTGCTTTGCATTCATCACAGTCATCCATCAGTTGACGCTTTGCTCGTTGGCATCACGCAACGTAAAAGTCAGATTAATTATTGAATCGTCCTTGTGATTTAGAAATGAACGCTTGCGCTTCTGTTATGATGAAGATTCAATCTTAAAGATTCACTTCGTGCAGTTCTGAGATCACATCACAAGCGTTCTCTCTAAATCTATCAATGGTACAATAAGTATGTTTGTTTTTTTCTTCCTTTGTGAAAATTTGGAACGATCTCTTACAATTGAATTAAAATAATTACCGAGTTATACCACTTGAGCGATGTGATAAAAATATAGCCAAAATTCTTGAGTGGTGTGTAGTTTCGTAATGGTCATCATATTACATCACGCCTCTGTGCGGTTACTGCTGATCATTGTTTTTATATTTTAGTAGCTTTTACTATTATTACAAAATTGTACCTTGTCTCCACGCCTGTGGCTCTAGTGAAGCTTTATTCAGCGAAATTCATATACACTCGTTATCTTCTGCCACCTGCTGTCATTTATGAAACTTGCGGAAATCGAACCGTACGATTTGCAATAATCGTTTTTTGCAAATATTATCGATAGTAACTTGTTAGTATGTGATCTTAGACCATTAATAGTTTAGCAATCAACTAGTTTCAAACGAATCACTTGAGATATGATCAAATAGACGAACTGGCTGCTTTGGTTAGGTCGAATCCGCTTTTTCTAGACCAATTCTTGCCTGCTTGGCAATCGAGTCATTAGGCTGTCTTTTCCCTTAGTGTGCCAGAAACGTATTTTTAAACTTTATCGTAGTTTTTTCTATAGCATCGCGCAATTTTTAATAGAAAGATTTGTACTTATTTTATACAAGCGACTGTTGTATAAAGTATTATTTTCTTGATTAGGTTTGGCTTGTATAAAAATACAATCGGTCATTATAGGCAATGGATGGAAATTGATATATATAAAATAGTTAATGTATGCAATCTATCATGTTCTTTATAAAATAAATTTAATATTGAATTGTGCTGAGCTAGCTCCGAGCTCGGTTTGGAAATACTGCAGATAAATCATAATAGCTGCTTATAAATACTTTTATCGAAACAAATTCAAGTTGATTCATTTTTCATTTAATTTGCCTCATTATACTTATTTGATTTTGTGACTTGCGCAGTTCGGAACGAGCGGCTTGAGCTCTCCGGTGGTGTTAACGCCCAGCAAGAGCTTTACGTCGCTAAGTCGGACGATCTCAGCAGGAGACACCGCCGGAGTGGCCTCCCCTACACGCTGCAAGTCCCCTCATCTCTCCTCCCCAGCAATACTGGCCATTAATCCTGAACCATCGAATTCATCTGCATCTTCTTCTCCTTCGTCGTCGGTGCCCAATTCCCCGGCGTCCTCGTCTACATTACATCAAAGACCGTCTTCTTTGCACGTCATTAACCACAAAGTTCCAAATGTTAAGAACTTCCGGTCTCCCAATAGGAGAAAATCAGTTGGCCATGTTCCCGTGTCTCCGTTAGCGCGAACGCCATCTCCTTCCCCCATGCCTTCTTCCCCTACCCGCTCCCCTTCCCCACACGTGCCTCTGCACCATCACCACCCACATCACCACCATCACCACCATCATTATCATCATTGCCCTGGGTCATCTAACACCACCCAGACGTACTCACCGGGCTCATCTCTGACCCCGGGCAAAAAGTGCATCAATAGACCTAAAAGCGCAGAGCCTGGGTCTCCTCTTCTGAGACGTGCCCTCTCACCGGATCGTTTACATCCTAGATCTGCCGAGATCAAAACGACACCCACCATCAGTCCTCTTGCGACGCCACCTAAGACTGCAACATCTACGCCACCTCGTCTCACTATAAGCTCGAGTACCGTGACCGCAGGGATTGAGTCCAATTCCTCCCCTAGTGGAGGAATAAGGTCCCCTATCCCTACGATGCTGACACAAAGGTTCAGTCCTGCGTGCACCTTGGAAGAAGCGCCCGAAGAGCTCGACTCTCCCGACAGATCGACGTCGCCAAGCGTTCCTGCTCCACCAGGAGTGAACGTGTCTTTGCCTAGCGCTACTGCAGCTCAGGGCTCACACACGACCAGCGTAGAAATCCACCCTCCTATTTCCAATGTCATCGAAAATAAATCTCTATGCGCCCTTGTTGCTGAACAAAGCAACTTTGTTGGCAGTGCAAGCAGTCACAGTAGCTCATTCAGCAGCAATAACAGCAGTACGAGCTGCAGCGACTCCACTGGAGAAAGCAATGTTAGTCCAAAACAAGCAAGCGGTGATACCAGGGAAGAAGGAGTACAAGAAGAGGCAGAGAGTGACGAAGAACACAACTCAGACTGCAAGAGAACCGCGCAAGAAAAAAGAGAACTTTTCAAAGCTCTTAAAGATCCCGCCTAATTTGGTTATTGTATGGTTCCATGACGCTATAGCTCCTGCAAAACCGACATACTTCAATTCTATCAATATATTAAACCGATCTAGCTATTTTTGAGACTGGTTTACTGGATCATACTAATTTATAATTCGTTATTGTTTATAAATGTGTCGGTGAGATGCCTGCCTTTTCAATTACGCTTAAGTAAACCTACGTTTATTGAGAATCATAGAGAATGCATTGAATGCCGGCGTAGCAGTCAAAGCCTGAATAGGGATGCTGTACCGCATTAAGTTTCCATCCATGAATGAAGAAAATTTAGAAGAATCGGCGTTACGTGTCGTATATTATACGTGGCAAACGCGGTTCAATGGATGACTCAAGGTTGTGCGTTGCGAGTAAAACCTCTTGTGCTCTGTTGACTCATACAGCCACATGAGGAAATTTCGCTTTGATATATGAATGTTGCTTCTAGATTTTCTTGTCTTGATAATTATTTTCAAGAAATAAGTTCTACCTTGTTTCTGTTTTCTAGTTCATGTTCTATGTTTGTGTCTATCTTATTGATGGTAGCGTTAGTTTGTTCTCTTGTGGTGAGTGTGTCGTCGAATGAGAGCTCTGTGCTCTACAGTCTACACTTGTTTTTTTTTTACTGCGCCCCACTTATTGCCTTGAGTGGTAGCTCTCTCGTATGTGTACTAAATTCCAGCAGCCGAATATCTCACAGCTGAGTCTCGGAGTAGCATTATTCTACTCATGTAATATCTTCTTCTTTTGTCCACTTTCTGAGGACTTTGTTCTTCACCACTCGTCTCACGTCCAGACGGGACCCTGTAGTATCAATGCCAAACTCTGCGTACTGTAAGAACCAAATTCTCAGGACAAAAATAATTCTCATAGGCAGCAGTAGTTCTCACATACAAATGTTTATCAATCGGTTGATTGAATTTACATTAACAGTTGTTGAAATTTTTCTTTAATTTTTAGGGGATATTGAGTATGTTGGCATCAATGAACGTGTTTCATGATTTGCACACTTGGTTCACGAGCTATTATGTGTGTGGGAGAGTCTCCCAATTTGTGATACCGACCATGACTTGCATTTCATGTATTTATGCGTGAGAAATAATTAAATTGCTCTCATGTTAGTTTAGTAGATAAGGATTTCACTCAGTAGTCTGTGTAAGGACAGTCTTTGTGCGTTGCTTATTAATTGTTCTAGTGCTACGTTAACTTATCGGACCATCTTAATCCTACTAGGGAAGTAACTCGACTTAGTCCTGTTGATTGCTCCAAATATTCTGACACTTGCGTGCTGTAGTTTTCAAATAATTAGAATATTGTTGAAGCATTTACTGGTATCGGCCATTTACAGTTCGCTCTCAAAGGTTTGCCGTTTAAATTTTTATAGTGAATTGCCTCAATTTCACCCTTGCTACCGTATTCAATGTTATCTGACCTCAGATAATCTGCTAGGCAAATTTATTTACGGCTTATTGATCAGTGCTGAGCACCTTCTTGAAGCCCGTTCATGGAATTAGTCTGTGTTCATTATAATGCTTGTTAAAGAACTGTTCGAAGCTTAACCCTTCTCTATGAACCATACTTTTGTAATCCCTTGTCTCTAGTAATATATCGCAAGTTGTGTCAAGTTCACAGCCGACAGTTGCTTGTGTATCTCCCTCCAATCATTCCGGTTCGTCTTCTCTAAATCATCATCACCTTGTGTCAAGAATTTTCTTGTGACGAGCTTCGAAGCTGAGGCTTGCGGACCGTGTTTGTACATATAGAGAAATTAGATATTTTTCTGGTGATTCATGTCTATATAGACTTACCTGTACATAGATATTTTGTAAATAGTATATATAAGAAATGTTGATATATGTTATTATTGTATAACGTGTACAATCCTGACGGTGCTTTGTCGTCTCCTGACTCCTACGGCCAACGTCTACTAATGATGCCAAGATATTCACGAAACACCCCTTGCATTTCGTGCACATATTGAGCTCTAATTTTATTCATGAAACTGTAAGTGTCTTGACCTATATTATTCATACCAGCATAATTCTCCTACTATTATTACTACTAATCCTTCTATTGCTGTCCGCTATTTTCTCGTCAATATTGTTGGAATCATGTTTATCGATTCGAATCGTCACATTCAAATGTCATTAGGGTTTATTATTTTTTCTTTCTTGTCAATTTTTATATGCTGTTTTCATTTAGACCACCATGTTATTTCCTTCTGCTAAATATGACTGCTTTTCATTTCTCTTTTAATTAGTTCTTTCATGTCCCCATGAAGCAAACCTTTTTTATTTATTTGTACTTTTTGGATAAAGTATAACGCAACGGCCGCCTCAGCCATTTTCTTTCGTAAGTCCAGATATTCTATTTTCTAATTCCAATTTTATTGTAATTATTATATTATCCGTGAAATCCTCGGTTAAATTGGAACTCTGGCCGTGCTGTAATTTCCCTCTGCTATAACGTAGAGTTAATCTATTATCTCTGTCTAGAATGATTACTTTGTTCTCAGTCAATACAATACAAGAAAAATAGATCTTTATGCACCATTTGCTTTGAGTCAACATCCTGTTCGTGACCAGCGGTTAAAAAAACTTCTTCATTTATTGCTTCTCGCGTGGCAGAGTAGTTTAACTTGCATGCATTTTGCTAATACATTCTCGTTGCCTTCTGGTTTGGCGAGATTTATGCTTCAATAAAAATTCATCATTTTAGCGACTTGCAAATTATCTTTGCCGTGTGCAAGTCATCAGTGTAACTTTGAAGCCGCTAGAGAACAATAAAGTTCTCCAGGAACTCTCTCACTTGTCGCTAAGCTCGCGTGTTTCGTTAAATGTATTGCGCCATTGTTGAACTCGTGTGATGATGTATGTACTAGACCACAGGACGATGATAGATGCTATCTGCTGACGCTTGTGCTGCCCATACTGACGCGTTCCTGTTCTTGATGATATTCCTTGTTTGTACCGTTTAGGGGATTGTGCTGTAAATGGTGAAACAACTTCAATATGTGAACTGTTGCACTCGAGTAAACATTATAATTGACTACGTATGATAGTTATGCTCATCCATTAATATAAATTGTGATAATACTCAATGTGTTTGAATGCAACTAAGCTTTCTTCAATTACCATTTGCTTATGCCTACATGGTATCGTTAAATTGAAAACTTGTCCCCATCACTGTGAATAATCGAGATCTGGAAATATATTTTATTCTCGCTTGCCACTGACGTAAAGCTTATTTGAGGCAGGCGTGCTCAGTCAAGTTGCAAGCGTTACGCTCTTAAGAACTATAGTATAATAGAATAAATTTTGGTTACGTGCCAATCGGAAATTTATTTGGTTGTCTTCGATTAATGACCGCTGTTAAAATATTAATGTTGATTGTGTCCATATTTTTTTTCTATCCTTCTTAGCTATATAGTTCAATTTACTATAACTTTCTCTTAATTTAACAGTTAGGTGCCGTAATCGCAAAAATCAATTGGCTGTGTTTTATCTGAAAGAATTAGTTACGTCATTAGGCACATTGCCCTCAAAATGGAAACTTTCTCCGCCAATTCCGTGTGAGTTGTAGTGGAAGGTTAGGCCCATTCGTACAAGAGCTTATATTGGTCGTCGTTTGCGGCTAAATTTTTCTTAATCCATTAGGTATTCCAATTTACTATTTTATGTTCATTTTGCTCACTTAAGTAATATAATTTTTAACGATCGTTTCTTACAAAAATTTTCATTGCTTTTAATCATAGACAAATAGATAACATTTTGGTGTGAAAGTAGACAGTTTCGAACAACTCATATCTGTCAACTTACAACTCATATTCCCTATTACTGAGACTTTGCTATGGCACGAGAAAACTATGTAATTCCGGAAGCTCAAAACTTAGAATATATTTTCTCCCACCGATTTGCGTTAGCTGGAAAGTAACTATTTACCAGTTGACTCTTGCCATAGGAAAAAATGTGAACAAATTAGTTACAAATTTTGAAGCTCACCCAAGTCTTTGTTCCCCGTTTAGTACGTACATGATCACGAGCGGAGACAAATCGTGGTTACTGAGTTCTTTGACAAATCGGCATCAATTGTATTGGTTGAACCTGGCTGAAAAAGTATTTTCGCACTTGAAACTCCTGTCACGGGATAAGTATGCATTTTCAGAAGAAACAGATTCATTCCATTGAAATTTGTTTCTTTGGCAGCATATTGCCAAGCCTTCCAAGTTACTGAACGCCATCAAGTTGCAGAATACGCTTGTAACATGGTGTAGATCTCAATCAAGGACATTATAAATCTAGAAACAAGATCCACTTGCGATAAATTATTTTGCGATTCGGATAGAAAATAAGGACTAAAAAGGACTTCGTTCGGCCAGAAATTACCTATCCAGTAAATACTTGTCCGGGCCCAGTGGAAGAGGGTGCGCAGCCGTAGACCAGCAAATTAATGCTCAAATCAGGCCTGGAGTTAATAACAACCATCTAAATGCTATAGATATTGTCATCCTGGCACCTAAGCAGCTGTAGTCAATTGACCTATCTCACCACACGAACTTTAAACCAACACTGCTTCAGCACACAAGTTGCTACTCCACATAGTTAACGGTCAATACGTTGTTCTCCAATGCTTTATAACCCATNGAAGGGAATTTTTCTGAACAACATCATGGAGGAACCTAGACTGCGTCCTTGGCTCTGTTTGAAGTCTCGAAGACTGGAGTGCGCAGCTGCCCGACTAAGAATAGGACATGCTGGTGTCAGAAGCCACCTCCATAGGTTCAACATGAGCGACTCCGATCAATGCATCACCTGCAGCACAACAGATACAATTGAGCACTTCCTATTGCAATGTCAACGTCATGTACAGCCCAGACAAGAACTGGAGACTAATTTAAGATTTTTAAATGTACCATTTAATATACGTGACCTCCTGGGGGGAGGGAATTATAACAGTGATGTACAACGTAAGATCTTTCAGTTTCTGACCACATTTATTCTGAAGTCAGGTAGACTGAGTGAACTTTAACTAGGTTAAATCATAAAAACTAAACTGAACTGTAAATACAGCTATTTTCAACTAGGTTAAATTGTAAAACTAAACTGAATTGTAAATACAGCTGATATATTTAGATAGCCTATTTTATCATATTTGTAATTCATTCTTCTAGTTTGATATGAAAAGTAGTTGGATCCTGTCTGAGCAGCGGCTCTTGCTTGTGGATGTTTTCTTGTACCATGTTTGCCCTGTTTTCCACAGTTTGCATCCTGAGCCACTGTATCCACTGACCTACTATAAACAAGAATTCAGTGGTTACCTACTCAGAAGAATTTAAACACAATACAGGCTCTCAGGCCCAACAGCCATCCTCAAGGTCGACCTGTGGCTTTAAGTCTACCCAGTGTAGACACCCCGAAAAGAAGAAGAAGAAGACCTAACACGTATTCGGTCAGAGTGTCAGTCTGATTCTGACAGCCCAAGATAGTGTATACGTCATGGACTCTCCGTTTTCTAGCACCAATAATTTTTTTGGGGGAATAAAAACTTTTTCTAATAGTTGTTTTCCTTGCCGGTGCTTAATGGCATTTCAGTTGGCAGTTGCCAAGTCAGTGACTGGCTGATTGCTCATTTTTATTACTGAAACCAAGGCAAGGGCTAAGCCTTAGCTTAGCCCTTGCCTAGTTGCCTTGGCTTCCGTAATAAAAGATGATAGGTATATGAAATTATGCCTTGGCTTCAGTAATAATTACGGTTAGCCTTAGCCGTTGAGGCTAACCGTAACACTTAAAAGCTCAGCGCCTTCAGCTTTTAAGTGTGACCTGCACCTGAGACCCGTTGATGATGAAGAACATTATGAGGTCCATGGCTAGTATGGAATATATCTACTTGGCGAGCCGCGACTGAATTTTTCGAGCCGTGGTTTTATGGATTTGCCAGCCGTGATTCTATTTCACCACCCATTTTACGGTATTACGTCTGTTCCTCCACATACTGCTCGTGCGTGGCAGCGCGACATAGAATTGATGGCCGGGATTGCGCGAACACGTGCGCAAAGAGAATCAATTTTCATTACATTGCGCCAACTGTGCACAGCAATAGCTTAAAAAAGTGAAAATGCGCGGGAAAATTCACCGAAAACATACATCATCCTGAGTGTGGAGTGTGGTAATTGGTATGAGGTGTGGGTATTTATTTTTTATTAAAAACATTCTATCTTATGTTGAGAACACCAAGGTTTTTTTCTTATAAATATTAGAAAGATCTCACTCTTATACCTAGGCTGCTGGGCAAAATAATAATAAACAATAAAGTTAGGTATACAGGCTGAGCCATACTGCCATAGTGTCAAACCAATGATTTTTTAGAATCAATTCATTTTTAATTTGCTCATTTACCCAAGATTTAAGTCAATATCTTTTGTACCATAAAATGGGTTAACTTAGACCACTTTTTTTCTTCAAAATGATGCCAATTTTTTACTAGATACCTAAGTTAAATTTAAATTGAAACGTGCAAAATACAGGTCTATACTCTAGCTTTACTTACCATAAATTGCTGACTCCTGCCTCACATAGTTTTGATGTAATTTCAAAAAAAGTGATAGTCTTTGTTACCCGAGCTCCTGGGGTTTCTTTGACCGGGTGGTAAAATCAATTTTATTTTTTGGTAAAATAACTCCAGGTTGTGGTGCATTGTATTAGAACTCTTTTAGTTACGTATGCAAAAGACAAATTTTAGGAAAGTGTCATAGTTTGCAAATGGGAGGCGCCGCCCCCCAATGTGCGAAATGTAACCACCTAATGGCAGATGTGACGGGGTAACATTGACCGGTTTGGAAATTAAGTTAAAATTACAATATATAAGACTCTGTAGAGTCTGAAACATAAAGAAAAAAACATTGATAGGTGTATCAAACATAAAATATGTTATATAGGTACCTATGATAATTTTAACTTAATTTACAAGCCGGTCAATGTTACCCCATCACAGCTTCCATTAGGTGGTCAAAGTTCCCCCATTGGGGAGCGGCGCCCCCCATTTGCAAACTATGACACTTTCCTAAAATTTGTCTTTTGCATATGTAACTAGAAGAGTTCTACTACAAATCAGAGCTGGGCAGCGCTACTTGGAAATGTAGCGGCGCTACCGCTACCGCGACATGCTCTAAATGTAGTGGGCGCTGCCGCTACCGCTACACCAACTAGATTGTAACGGGCGCTACCGCTACAGTAAAATGTAGCGCGCTACATTAGC